ATGGCTTGCCCTCTCCAATTACTAGCGAGGGTACAATCTCTCTCACTCCTACTCTATCTTTGTCTCGTGCGTTATTAGTTCCCAATATTCATTGTAACTTGTTATATGTTGGTCGATTACTTGATACACTTACTGTTTCTGCTACTGTCTATCATACACATTGCTCTTTTCAGGATCTTAAGACTCACGAGACGATTGGGCATGGTAAACGGATAGGGGGGTTATATTATTTGACATTGCCTTATGCAGCAGTTTGTGATCATGTCGTTAATACTGTTCAAAGTTGCAGTGTCAAAGACAAACAGTAAATTTGGTTATGGCATCGTCGCTTGGGACACCCATCATCTGGCTACCTTAAGCGTGTGTCTCCATCTTTATTCCACTCTTGTGATGAGTCCAGTTTTAAGTGTGAGACATGTATTTTGGCCAAAAGTCATCGCACTGTGTCTCCTTTGAGTGACAGTAAAGCTGCTAAGCCTTTTGATTTAGTGCATTCTGATGTGTGGGGTCCAGCTCGCGTTACTTCAAATGGATTTCGTTGGTTCGTCACATTTATTAATGATTGTACCCGACTCACTTGGGTTTTCTTGCTGAAAAATAAAAATGATGTTGCTTCCATCCTTCCAGAGTTTTGTACTATGGTGTCTACTCAGTTTCATGCTCAGGTCAAATTATTCCGGACTGATAACGGAGGCGAATATGTGAATAATACTCTGGTGTCTTTCTTTCGTGCTCAAGGTATTATTCACCAAACGATAACCCCTTTTACCCCTCAACAAAATGGTGTGTCTGGAAGAAAGAACTGACAATTGCTTGAAGTTGCCCGCTCACTCATATTGGATATCTCTGTTCCCCATCATCTTTGGGGGCATGCTATTCTATCTGCTGCCTATTTAATTAATCGTACTCCTAGCCGGGTTCTTGATTTCAAGACTCCGCATGATGTGTTTGGTGACCATGTTTCCCCTGTCTCCGTCTCCAAATTGCCTCATAAAATTTTTGGGTGTGTTGCCTATGTTCATGTCTACTCTCATCAACGGAGTAACCTTGATCCTTGTGCTCTACGATGTGTCTTTATTGGTTACTCTTCTACTCAGAATGGTTATAATGGCTATCATTCACCTACCCAGAAGGTGCATGTTACTTTGGACGTGACTTTCCATGAAGAAGTGTCCTATTATCTCTCTCCCTCATCTCCCTCCTCTCCAATTCAGGGGGAGAGGGGGAGTGAATTTGAGAGTCTTGGATTGGAGAATCTAGAACTTGAATTAGAGAATGATGTGTTTGAAGATACTGCTCTCAGAAAGGAAACGATCGGTCGCACTGAAGCAAGCGACTAGTCACCCATATATGAAGATGAAACATGTGGTCTCTGTGAAGAAATGACCGGTTGGCCTTTGGAACTTGACCGGTCGCCCATATCTGGAGATGAAGCAAGTACTGTCGGTGTTGAAACTATCGGTGGCATTGAAGCAAGCGACCAGTCGCCTATATCTGAAAATAGTGACAATGATTCTTGTATGGATGAGTTCGATGCGATACCCCCCCTACCTTGCCAGTGCCCCAATCTACTCATGATAGTGAATCAAGTGAGGTAATTTCTAATGATCTATCTGTGTCAACTTATCAGTTACCCCCATGAATTACTCGTGGGAAACCTAAAGTACAATATTCTCCTGATATACATGCCAAGTCTAAATATCTCATTAGCCATTATGTGTCAACTCATCGTTTGTCCAAGTCATATGCATCATATTTGTGCAAATTATCTAGTGTATGTGTGCCAACTAAGTTGCAGGATGCTTTATCTAACCCCAAATGGATGGATGCCATGAATGTTGAAATGGATGCCTTGAACAAGAATAAAACGTGGGATTTAGTTCCTTTACCATGATAGAACAAAGTTGTTGGATGCAGATGAGTGTTTACTTTGAAGCATAAGGCTAATGGTTCCATTGACCGTTACAAGGCTAGATTGGTAGCAAAGGGTTACACTCAGACCTATGTAGTGGATTATTTGGAAACCTTTGCTCCGGTGGCAAAGCTCAATACTGTGCGTGTACTATTGTCCCTGGCTGCTAATTGTTACTGGCCCTTATTGCAATTCGATGTCAAAAATGCGTTTCTACATGGTGACCTCCAAGAGGAGATTTACATGGATCTCCCTCCTGGTATTCCTGTAACCTCTAAGGAGAGTGTTGTGTGTAAGCTGCGGAAGTCCTTATATGGATTGAAGCAGTCTCCAAGAGCGTGGTTTGGGAGATTTGCAGCATCTATGAAGAAATTTGGGTATGTGCAAAGTAACTCAGACCATACTTTGTTTCTAAAGAGTCATAAAGGTAAATTGACAGCTTTAATTATTTATGTTGAGGATATGATTGTGACTGGAGATGATCAGGCATAAATGCAAAATCTTTAGAAGTATCTGGCTTCCGAGTTTGAGATGAAGTCATTGGGTGATTTGAAGTACTTTCTTAGGATTGAAGTTGCTAGATCTAAACATGGTATCTTTCTGTCACAAAGAAAGTGTATTTGGATTTACTTGCAGAGACTGGAATGTTGGATTGTAAACCAATTAATACCCCTAGTGAACAGAATCATAAGTTGGGGTTGTATCCTGATCAAGTCCCTACATATAAAGAGCGTTATCAATGACTTGTGGGGAAATTGATTTATTTAGCACATACACGTCCTGATATTGCATATGCAGTGAGTGTAGTGAGTCAGTTTATGCATTCTCCTAGTGAAGATTATATGGGTGCTGTGATGCACATTTTGAGATATCTGAAAGTAACTCCTGGCAAAGGGTTAATGTTTTGCAAATATGGTCATACAGATGTGGAAGGGTATACATATGCTGATTGGGCTGGTTCAGCCACTGATAGACGTTCTACGTCTGGGTATTTCATGTTTGTAGGTGGTAATCTTGTTACTTGGAGAAGTAAGAAACAAAAGGTGGTGTCTCGATCTAATGCTGAAGCCAAGTATCGTGGGATGGCTCAAGGCATATGTGAGTTACTATGGTTGAGGTAATTGTTGAGAGATCTTGGTTTTGGGCCACAGAAACCTATGGATTTATATTGTGACAATAAGGCTGCAATTGCAATTGCCCATAACCTGGTGCAACATGATCGTACAAAGCATGTGGAGATTGATCGAAATTTCATTAAAGAGAAGTTGGATGCAAAGATTGTTTCCTTCTCGTTCGTCAGTTCTGAGTATCAATTAGCCGATGTCCTTACAAAAACTGTTTCTTCCTCAACTCGCTTGACAAGTTGGGCATGTGCGACATCTTTGCTCCAACTTGAGGGGAAGTGTTAGCAAGATCCTAGTGTAATTAGGAGATTTACTTCCTAGTATATTAGGATTCTATTTATTTCCCTTTTGTATAGATTTTATGTAATTAGGACTTTATCTTATTTTCTAGTATAACCCTGCTAGGGTTTGTAACCTTGTATTATAAATACCTCATTTCGGAGAATGAAATACAACCTGAAAATATTCTACCCATATTGTTTGACTGGAAGAAGGTTCTCATTGAAGGGGATTCCAAGCTAATCATTGACTGTGTAAACAAAGCTGCATCAGTTCCTTGGAGTATTCAAGTTCTCAAGATATCAATTTAGTGCTCCTTTTGTAAGGAGGTTTATGTGAATCATGTGTTTAGGGAGGCCAACTTTAATGCTCTTGCGAATTTGGGCCGTGGGCTTTCCCCGTCCAATTTGTGGGAGCATGAGCTGCCTCTTTCTTGCTCTTTCATCTTTTATTTTGACCTGTTTGGGTTGGCGTCCTCGAGAGGTTTCTATTTGCAACTTCCTTTTCTGAATTTTTTTTTTTAAAAAAAAGAGATATGAAATGCATTTAAAATTCTTCAAATTGAACTTTGCATTAATGGGTTTTAATCATAAATGGCCAAAATACACATAATAAACTTGTAATTTTGTTTTCAAACTTTGACATACAACTTCCAAACTTTCAAGACCAATACCTAACAAAAGTTTGAAGTTGGATCACTCTATCATATGAAAATTTGAAAATAAATTTAGAACTCCAAAAAATGTTCTTCAAAAACCCAAAACTCATTTTAATTAAAATTGAAATTTTCAAACAAGAAGGTACGCACTAAAATAGATAGAAAAATCAATTGAATTAATGGATTGGACTAAAGCGGAAACAGAATGAAACTAACAAAATGTAATGAAGGTAAAAACTCAAAACAACTTAAAAAATGATTGCCAATAATTAAATCTAAACTATAAACTCAACCCATTTTATAGTTTACATAGATTCTTAACATCCCAAATAATAATATTTTAATGAACAAAGAGTCTAGAATGTTCCTGAAATCTCTGGATTGTATTTGTTTTCCCCTCAAAAATCAATGAGAAAATGAAGAAAAGAAAATTACTACAAGAGGGGTGGATAAAGATTCCTTGAAAGATTCGTTGAAAAGAACAGAAACAAATGTAAAATACAATAATAATAATAATAATAAAAAACGCGGGAAGGACTGAATGGGACCCACTTCCACTGACTCAGGTAAGCTTGTTTGGTAAGCGCAGATCAAAGACCTGTCAAAATATAACGTTTAAAATTTTTTTTTAAAAACACCAGTCAAAATTAGTCTTTTTTTCTAATCAATTAAATACAAGTTACTTCCACTCTGATGCTTACTTGCCCAAAATCTCCTTTTTTCTTGGTGTCTCCTCCTCCTGCAGGCTTTCTTCCATTTTCTGTCATGGCCATGGCTGCAACCACTGGATCTTCTTCCAGCTCTGCCTCTGCTGCTGCTGCTGCTGACAAGCCAGTGCCTGCACTGCCGCCGCTCACAGCGAAATTGGATCCTACAAAGTACCCCCTTTGGTTGGCGCAGATCATTCCTTTCCTCAACAGCAACGGCCTGATGTCTTTCGTCGACGGTACCGCCACGTGTCCTCCCGCCTTTCTTCTCGTCGCGGAGGCGGCGGAGGCGGCGGAGGCGGCGGAGGCGGCGGAGGCGGCGGAGGCGGCGGAGGCGGCGGAGGCGGCGGAGGCGGCGGAGGCGGCGGAGGCGGCGGAGGCGGCGGAGGCGGCGGAGGCGGCGGAGGCGGCGGAGGCGGCGGAGGCGGCGGAGGCGGCGGAGGCGGCGGAGGCGGCGGAGGCGGCGGAGGCGGCGGAGGCGGCGGAGGCGGCGGAGGCGGCGGAGGCGGCGGAGGCGGCGGAGGCGGCGGAGGCGGCGGAGGCGGCGGAGGCGGCGCAACAGGTGAAGGAGTTTCAGGGAAGAAAGGTGTACCCGGGGTTAAGTTCTTCTCTCCCACCGAAGAGGAACTGGTTGGCTACTTGACGAACAAAATAGAGGGGAAGGACTCAGAATTCAGGGACTTCATCCCTGTAATTGATCATGTCTGCAAGCGTGAGCCTCGTGATCTGCCTGGTAACCCATTAATCTCTCTCACTTTTTCTTCACTACCCATTTTTGTTATGTGTTTGTTTATTTATAAAGTTATGATCTTGATCGGTTCTGTTGTTGTTGCATTCACTACCCATTTCTCATTTCTAAAGTATTATTTTGTTGTATGCTTAAATTTATCATCTTGTTTAGCTGCTCTGTTGTTGAGCACTTCAAAGACTTGGGTTGGTTTCAAATTTCCAATACTTTGCTTGCGTTGCATTTCAGCGGTCTTCTTCAACAAACCTGATTACAAGAACTCCAAAAGAGATCGCTGCAACAGGACCACAGATGAGGGCTTTTATAAAAGCACAGGCAATGTTCGTGAGATCAAGGCTGAACAATCCCAAGCTGTGATTGGTAATAAGAGGATTTTGCCTTTCTCCGAAGGTCGTGGGCCCCAAGCCAAGAAGACCAAGTATGTCATGCATGAGTATTCTCTCACCAAAGCTGAACTTGCCAAACTGGGTGTGGGTCCTAATCCCAATCAGAAGAAAGAGTTTGTTCTCTGCTGCCTGAAGAGTAAGTCAGCAAATTCTAAGAAGCTGAAGGATGTTTCAATCTGCGGCAATGAATTAGCTGAACCTGCTATTAACTCTGAAGATGATCAAGCTGCTGCAACTGATATGATTCAAGGCCCAAATGAGCATCTCACAGACAAAGATGTTCTGCTTGGCACTGAGAATCGTAATGAATGCGCCAAGTCAGATATTTCAACCTGTGTTGGTTCAACTGGTGGCTTTGATGTTGGTTCACCGTGTGGCTTCTTCTTGTCTGATTTTGATGATCCGATTATAGAGGTGAACTTTTGAACATTTTTGTTCATATGAACTTGCTGTATCAGCACAAGAAGCACTTCAAAACTTAACGCTTGCTTGTCTGTGTTTCTTATTGCAGCCGTCCTGTGCTGATCTTGGAGTAAATACAGATGTTGGTTCACCTGATGGCATCTTGTGGCCTGATTTTGATGATCTGTTGAAAGAGGTGAACTTTTGAACATTTTTGTTTATATGAACTTGCCGTATTGTTGTGAATTTTAGACAACTGAAAAATGGAGAGTATAAAGATTAGTCTAAACACAAATTATACTCGCAAGTGCACAAGGTCAATCGTAATATAGTATGACAAATACAAGGTCATTCCCACGAGAATTGAGTTCAACTTCCAATTAGTCTAACCTAATTTACTTAACAAAATACTTTTAACTAATTATATAAACAAGAAATTAAACACGTAGCATACTCACATAAATATAAAAGGGGGTTTTGAAAGAATGATTTAATTAACAACGAAATTAAAAGACAAAACAAGTAGAAAGTCACAAAACACATAGATGAGAAATTCAAATTGATAAAAGCACTAGAACAATGAATTCACCACTAGTAATCTGATCTAGCCTCTTATTCAACTACCCGTTGACAGAACAATATAAAATATGAATTTAGATTATAATAATTCTCAACAAAATTGTAACCATCAAATATACAACAAATTCACATGAAATTAATGTAAATCAACAAACACAAATGTGTAGAAATACTGACAACTTTAGCGATTGAGGCTTGCAAGAATTGCAATGTCCTAAAGACAAATTTCGCTCCTGCCCTTGTGCTCGCAGTTCTTTTGGCGTCAACAATCGATAATCTTAAATTGAAGCACTTCAATTTAAGACTATGGCAAACCAATTATATATTTATACTCTCAAGACACTTAGGAAGGAAACTTGAAGATTGATACTCTAACATAGCATGAGTGGGGAAAAACTCCTTATTTGTAAAGAAGGTAATGGGTTTATATAGAACCCATCAGGTATCCACCAATAAACGCAACTTTTAATAGCAAAAGATGCTTCTATATTTGATATCTGCATTCAACAAAGCAGTTGCTTTTGAATGCTAACAAATAATATCAATTGCATTTAAAACAATGCAATTGTTCGAGCAAAACTGACTCTTGTATTTTTTCACTCAACCATAAATTTAAATATTATAATATTTAATTAATATTATAATTAATCTAATTTCCAACACCACCTATTAATTAACCAGTTGATGTCGCTGCTTAGTTTTCCTTTTTCATGAATTACCCGTGGTATTTAGGCTAACTCGTATATTCCTACATGCAATTCGCCTATGTTATTTAGATCAAATATGAACACATAGAAACTCATTAAGATCAGTGAAAACCTCCAACAAGCGTGTAATCCCTAGGAGTATGATATTTACCCTAGACGAATTACAAATCCTAATCACAAGAAGCAAGCCTCAAATTAAGTATGGTATGTACTCTAATTTGCATTTGATTAACTCAATTAAAAGTCTAGATGGTGATCAAGCATCAAGATAATCAACCAGATTATTAAGCACAGTATCCAACATCAAACAGCAATCAATAGATAGATATGTAAAATAAGAAAACTAGATTATCATACTAGGGCTACATCATGCCCTAGCAACAGAAAATTAGTTACGCATAATCATAGAATTCGGCATAAGCAAAAACACAAGGAAGGAAAAATAAAACTTAGCCAATTATGGTACTCTTCCGACGTCTCCAATCTCTCCAAGTCTTTGTGTAATCCCCCAAAGGAGTTGTTTCTCATGCTTAAATAAAACACCACGTCTATTACTACCCTAGCTGGGATTTTACAGCAGCCCAAAAATATAGAAAAACCTAATTAAAACATAAATCCAAAATGGGTAAGTAATCGACTCTTCTTCCTACTTTGACTGGGATAACACGTCAGTTACTTTGTACACACGTTTGGGGTCGTTCCTCCTCCAAGCAAATTTGGGAAAAATATGTAAATTGTAGGTCTTTGTCTTATCTTTCCAACCATATATTGCACGCCTTGAGCAAAAATCAGGAAAGTCTTGAAATAATCATTCTTCCACAGCAGCACAGTTTTGACAGGATTGCAGCTTATGCTGACTTAACTTCAAAGAATGCTCTCATTGGCTGCTCTGAAAATTCTAGAAAAATTCCACAATCATCTTCAAGATATTAGCTTTCATCTCCAACTGGTCTTGTACAAAAACTCCACCAAAAAGTCGTATTTCTGTTGAAAACCAATTACTTGCTCTGGAAAGCTGAAAATTGAGAAAATAAAGTAATAAGTCCCTTTTAAATCAAATTCTCCTACAAAAACTAAGCATAAAGAGTACATAAATGTGTAAATTTATGGACTTTTCATGTATCAGCACAATATGCACTTGAAAACTTAACGCTTGCTTGTCTGTGTTTCTTAATGCAGCCGTTCTGGGCTGATCAGCCACATCAGCCACCACACCCATCTCACCCGCATCAGCCACCACCCGCACCTCACCCACATCAGCCACCACCCGCACCTCAGTCACATCAGCCACCACTCCCATCTCAGCCACAAAATTACTGCTCCTCCACACTGCCGTCAGCATTATGCACCAAACAGGGAAATGTTCCCAGTCTCTATAATGATGACTGCAGTAAGCAGCTATCTCCAACTGGGAATAACATTTCAACTAATTATCACTATGAACCGGTTAGCAACACCGCTTATAGTGTTCAAAATGGGGCTACTGATGAAAGGTTTTCAGAGGTGAGAATGAGCATGCTCTTCGAATTATTTTTTTCTCATATGAACTTTTTTAATATGGAGCACAAGAATTGCATCCAAACTTAGTGATTGCTTGTTGTGATTCTTAACCCAGGTTTATAAAATTTCAACCAATGATCACAATGAATCAGTTAGTTCAGAGGTGAGAATGAGCATGCTCTTTCAATTTTATTTAATATTTTTATATGAACTTCTCAATATGGATCACAAGAAGTACATCCAATCTTAACGCTTGCTTGTGATGTTTCTTAATCCAGGCTTACCTTCAGCCAGAAGAAAATCTGGGCATTCCTTCATCCATTTCGGCCACAGGATTACACACTGCTGTCGCCAAGGAACACAGAACTGGGAGATGTTATGCATGCCAATAACTATATTGACATGCAGTGGTGAGTCGCAGTCTCCGGATAATCTGGAGTTTACGATTCTTTTCCCACAGTTCTTAAATAATTTCATTGGTGGCCAGGATCCACAGTTCTTAAATAATTTCATTGGTGACCCGGATTATTATCCTGTGAAGAAACAACATACACTACTTTCAGTGACTCTAATCTACCGGAGCCATGGGAGGAGTCTATGATAGCGATAGTGGAGTAAGAAGTGAAAGGAACATTGAATTACTCCATGGATGGGTAGAAGTTTTATTCTGCATTAGCTGCTGCAACATAGATAGTGCAACATTTTAGTTATAGGGGAGCATCAGTAAACCAGAAGAGGTCTTGGAAGGGTAGCACATCACCCTTATCTTCAAAACAAATTAGATTTCTTTGATGTTATTGGAAACATCTCCTTAAAACCATTAAGCAAGTCCCCAATGGGGCATGGCATAACATTTCGATTCCAAGTTCTAGCTCTAGCCTTATTCTCAGGCTTTCGTTCCCAAGTTCTTGCTCTAGTCTTATTCTCAGGCTTTCGTTCCCAAGTTCTTGCTCTAGCCTTATTCTCAGGCTTTCATTCCCAAGTTCTTGCTCTAGCCTTATTCTCAGGCTTTCGTTCCCAAGTTCTTGCTCTAGCCTTATTCTCAGGCTTTCGTTCCAGCTGTAGCCTTATTCTCAGGCTTTCGTTCCAGCTGTAGCCTTATTCTCAGGCTTTCGTTCCCAAGTTCTAGCTCTAGCCTTATAC